GAAATCAGGTGTCAGCCTTATGGGAGCTCTTTTGTAGGTAACAGTTTGCTTTACTCTTGCTATCTTTAACATTCTCTCGTTGTCTTTAATTATTTTGCATTTTAATTATGATGTGTCTGGGTATTGGCCTGTTGGGTTCTTCTTGCTTGGGACTCTGTGCCTCCTGGACTTGTGTGACTTATTCCTTCACCAGGTTAGGAAATAATTCCTTCTGCCATTATTTCTTCAAAAACATTCTCTATCCCCTGCTCCTTTTCTTCCCCTTCTGGCACACCTACTATTTGAATATTGTTTCATGTTGTCCCACGGCTCCCTTAAGCTATCCTCCTGTTAAATTGTTTTTCCTATTTGGTTCTCTAATTGAGTGATTTTTTTTCTACTCTGTCTTCTAATTCACTGATCTGATTCTCAGCTTCCCCTAATCTGCTGTTTATTCCTTCCATTGTGTTCTTTATTAGTGCTATGTCATTCTTTATTTCCGACTGGTCTTTTTTCATAGTTACTATATCTTTTCTCATGCTGTTGAGCGTTTTTTACCATCATTATTATCAAGTCTGTATCAGATAAACTTCTTATCTCCATTTCATTTATCTTTTCTTCTGGAGAATTCTCTTGTTCTTTCATAGTGGACTTTTTTTTTTGTCTGCCCATTTTGGCTGCCTGTTGGGTTTGTGACTATGTATTAGCTTTGTGACTCAGTCTCTAGTTCAGGACAGTGTCAAACGCTGTTTCTGACTAATTAGGTCAGGAAATACTAAAAGCCTTTAGAGATCCACCTCTGCCTGTTGACTGATTGGTTTCAGTTTTGTGTAGCCCTCAAGCAATCATCCACAGGTGTGGTGAGAGGTTTTCCAACAGGCTGGGGCAATTGCTTCTGCCTAGAGCAGTGGTTCTCAACCTTGGCTGCACATTAGAACCACCTGGGAATCTTTTTAAAATCCTGATTTCTGGGCCTCATCCTCCGGAAATTCTGTTTCTTTGTTGCTAATGTTGTGGCCCCACCCCATAACAAAGAAACAGAATTTCTGGAGGATGAGGCCCAGAAATCAGGATTTTAAAAAGATTCCCAGGTGGTTCTAATGTGCAGCCAAGGTTGGATCCACTGGCCTAGAGGCTATTTGTTATTCTCAGTCTGTTAATGGGCCTCAGAAACTCCGCACCTTTGGGCAAGGTGTTTCCAATAGAGTGGGTCAACTGTCTTCTCCCAGTGGTCGGCAAACTGCAGCTCAGCAAATCACGGCTCTCGAGTCACACAGCAGGCTCTTTGGCCCCTTGATTGTGGCTCTTCCACAAAATACCAGCTATTCCACAAAATACCGACTTCTGTGCATGGGCCACGAAGTTTCAATCGCACTGTACGTGCGCGCCCACACGTGGTATTTTGTGGAAGAGCCACACTCAAGGGGCCAAAGAGCCGCATGTGGCTCGTGAGCCGCGGTTTGCCGACCACGGTGGGCCCAGGCAAAACCTGCCTCCATAGCAGAGGTCTGCCTGAGAAAGATGACCTCTGCTGCTTGAAGGAATGACTCAGCACAGGAAACCACAGGTGGCTGCCTTCTGAGCTCCAACCCTAGAACCCCCACCCTTGGCTTCTGCTCACACAGCTCCAGTCCACTCTGCCCTCCCTCGGCCGGAGCCCAAGGTGAGTGGCAGCGTACTAAATTTTGTGCATTGGCCCTTTAAGAGGGTGCCTGCATCTTCAGCCATCTCTCCCTGGCAGACAGTAACCCTGCTGCTTTCACAGCCAGATGTTATGTGGGCACCTTTCTCAGTTCTGGTGCTCTGTGTTGGAGAGCCCAGGCGTGGGTTTAGACCCCAGAGTTCTCAGTGGAAACCCCCGACAGCTGAGATATCCCTCTGGACCAGTGGTTCCCAACCTTCTGGCCCTTTAAATACAGTTCCTCATGTTGTGACCCCCCAACCATAAAATTATTTTCGTCGCTACTTCATAACTGTAATGTTGCTACTGTTATGAATCGTAATGTAAATATCTGATATGCAGGATGGTCTTAGGCGACCCCTGTGAAAGGGTCGTTTGACCGCCAAAGGGGTCGCGACCCACAGGTTGAGAACCGCTGTATTAAGTGATCCAGTTGCCTGGTTGACATCTTGGAGATAAGCAATGGTGGATTTTTTGTTGTTGCTGGTCCTTGCGGTCTTGGCTTCCAGAGTTATAAAGCAGTGATTCTTTTTCTTTTTTCTTTTAAAGCAGTGATTCTTTTTATATAGCCATATCCTTCCAGCACATTATTCGATTTGAGACATGTTTCAGTATGTTTTTATTTTAGATACTTTTTAAAATATTCTTTTCACCTCCTACTGAGACTACTAAAATACAGGACCTATATGTGTGTTATATAAAATGAAATAGAATTAAATAGATTTTTAGGATATGGTGTCCTTTTACATGGACTAATGTTTGTAAATATGTTTCAAGTTCTGCTTAATTATTTTCTGCTTCTGTCCTTTGACTCTTTATTCTATACTCCTAATATATGAAACTTTCTTTAATATATGTCTCTAAACTTAACATTCCCACATTGAAAAACAAGGCTGGGCCTTCAACACAACAGGAACTAGAATTGTTTCTCTATGTATTAGGAAATATGGCCTGCAATAGTTACTGGGTGTTACTTCTTATAACTTTATTCACCTGTGAGAGACCGATTCTGGTTTGGTTTAAGTATTCACTGAACTATAATGGAAGCGGGGATTCTATGGTTAACCTGGCTTGAATTAGATGCCTACCTTGGACCAGTCATCTATAATAGGGTCATATAAGAAAATGGCTTTTTTCTCATATGCATATCAGAAGTGGGATGCTTAGCAGTTCTTTTTTTTAAAAGAAGAAATAATCACTCTAATACAAAATGGTTTTTCTGTAAGCAGTTCAGACCTCTCTAAAGAGTAAACTAGTAGCTTCTAGTTTGTTAATAAATATTTTCTCTAATGCAAGATACTGAGTTAGAAGCCAGGAGACATAAAGAGAAGTAGAAGGAGTCCTCAGATTACTTAAATTCCAGTGGAAGATGAGAGGTTGTTTATGATAGGTGTAATGGTGCATTTCAGTAAAGATAGCAAAATTTATACTAGACTTAACCGTTGTATTTTCTGCTGTTCCTTTTTATGACCAGTGTGCCCTGCCCCCTCACCATAGCTAGGTCTCTTGTAAATAACTATTATATGTGCCTGGGAGACCTAGAGAGGAGATGGACATTTGAGCACTTGCAAATCTATCATCACTTGCCAAAAAAATAATATGCTTCCTACTAATGCTCTTTTATATTAGGAGAACCTTCTGGTTAAACACAGCAGGTTGATTATATGCCTCTATTGTCTCTTCCTCCCCAGACCCAACTAAAATGATATGTAAAAAAAGAAAAGACTTTATATATCGCAAGGGCAAAGTGCATGGGAGAGGACACAGTAAAGCACAAGAGATTTCAATACATATTTGTAAGGTTAAAGTTGTGGAGAAGTGAGAACTGACTAAGCAAACCAGAGGAAGATATATCCTAAGCATTTGCAGAGAGGAATGTCTAAGAAGTAAACTAGTTTTCCTTGTAAAAATGTCAGAGGTTCGGGAGTTAGAGGCACACAATATGTGTGTGTGTGTGTGTGTGTGTGTGTGTGTGTGAGAGAGAGAGAGAGAGAGAGAGAGAGAGAGAGAGAGAGAGAGAATTAACAGGCTGAAAAGAGGGGGGTTAGTTGACAATCCAAGGGACCTTACGACCCCTCCTCTACTCTACATAGCCATGAAATATAACACATCCTCTGGAACAGCTAAAGAACAAACAAACATGTTCACATTTATTTGAGGAGAAATTAAACCCAAGAGGCTCCTTATTCTTGTCAGGGGAGTCAGGAAAAGGTGTGGCACCAGAATAAAAAAAAGTGGATTCAGTGGAAGTCAATATACTAAACTCCTTCCTCTGCCCTGCTTTCAGAACACTAGTAGCTTTAGTCAAAGTCCTCAGACAAGAAATGGGAAGAGTTTTCTCTGGATAAACAGAATACCCTGGAAAAAAAATACTTTAGATACTACACCCCCATCTTTTAAAATATATATATATATATATATATATATATATATATTTCAGAAAAGAAGGGAGAAGGAGAGAGAGAAACATCAGTGATGAGAAAGAATCATTGATCAGCAGCCTGCTGCACCCCCTGCCTCCTGGGGATCGAGCCCACAACCCAGGCATGTGCCCCGACTGGGAATCAAATCATGTCCTGGTTCACAGGTCGATGCTCAACCACTGAGCCACACCAGCCAGGCTCCACCCCCATCTTTAATGGAAAGGCTAACTTATCTCCCAGTTAACTTTTTAAAAAATCCTCACTTGAGGATACGTTTTTATTGATTTTTAAAGAGAGGTGAAGGGAGAGAGTGAGAGAGAGGGAAGGAGAGAGAAACATTGGATTGGTTGTGTCCTGTATGAGCCCCTTCTGGGGATCAAACCCACAACATAGGTATGCTCTGACCAAGAATTGAACCCTCGACCTTTTAGTGTATGGACAACTCTCCAACTAACTGAGCCACCTGGCCAGGTCATCCAGTTAACTTTTTGTACTCTTATATATGAGTAGACAATGAAGGATTGTCAGACACTTGACAACCATTAAATAAGAGAGGCCAAAGCAATGGGATAAAAAAGGAATGTAGAAGAAACAGACAATGTAGGGAGAAAAAACCCAACTTATACACACACAAACCATATAATAGAGAAGATAAATTGCATCCATGAAACAAGAAAAGCATCTCAGAAAAAGAATGGTCAGAGAACAATCTATATATATAAAAGCCTAAGCAACCGTTACGATGGAATGACCGGAATGACTGGTCGTTATGATGTGCACTCATCGCCAGGGGGCAGATGCTCAACACAGAAGCTGCCCCCAGCCCTCAGGCCCCGATCACTGATGGGGCCTGCTGGCCAACCTCCCAGTTCCTCCCCCTAGCCAGCAGGCCCTTGGGCTGGGCTGGGGAACCGGGGATGGGTGGCGGCATGCGGGCAGTGAGGAAAGGAGAAGGTAGGTAGGCGTGGAGGCAGAGAACCTGATTGGCCCTATCGCCAGCCAGGCCTAGGGACCCCAACGGTGCACAAATTTCGTGCACTAGGCCTCTAGTGAGAAATAATTCTTGGAAAGCCAACATTTAAGATAACTAAAACAAACAAAAGATGTCACTAGGTGAAGAGTAGAAGATCATTAATAAAATTTTCCCAGATCATTAAACTATAATGCAAAGATAAAAAATGTGACACTGTCTGGTTGTCTCCACCCCTAATTTATGACAGGATTAGTTTCTGTACTTCATTTATCAGTTTTCTATCATTGTCTTTAAGGGAAATCTTTTTTCTAAAATAACTTTGTTTCTAATATGTTTTAGGAAAAATATAAACATGATTATGAGTACCTTTTTAAATTTTGTTTAATAGGTTGATTCTTTTTTTAATGCCCTTTAGGAAGTAGGAAGAAAGAGAAGGAACGGCCAGAAATTTCTCCTCCTTCTGATTTTGAGCACACCATCCATGTTGGCTTTGATGCTGTTACTGGAGAATTCACTGTAAGTTTACCTAGTTGGGACTCATTTTTATATCATCACTCAAGCTTTTCCATTAAGTATTAAGTTTGAAGTTAACTTTCCTATCCACATATTAATTATGAATTCTTAGTGCTTTTCTCTTCTTCTAAAAGGATTTGTGGATGGATGTATCCTTTTCCTAGGGAACTGCAACTATTAATTGTAATTATGCAAAACAGATTTAGATAAATAGACCTTTAGAAAACGAGGCTTTTTAGAATTTAGTCAAACCTATAGTTAATATAGATTGATTTATGTATTTCATCATTCACCTCTGGAAATTGATTTTATTAGAGCAACTCTAAACAGCTAATTCCTGACTGCCTTGTTTTTAGGGCATGCCAGAACAGTGGGCTCGATTATTACAGACTTCCAATATCACCAAACTAGAGCAAAAGAAGAATCCTCAGGCTGTGCTGGATGTCTTAAAGTTCTATGACTCCAACACAGTGAAGCAGAAATATCTGAGCTTTACTCCTCCAGGTAAGCTATCAATTCTAATTCACATGAGATTGCAGAGTTGTGAAACTCTTCAAAATAAAAAGATTGCTTATGAAAAAAAAAACAACCCACCTAAGCTGTAGTTTTTGTCTCCACTTTTCCCTTTGCATATACCTACCTTTTATTTATTTATTTATTTTTATTTCAGAGAGGAAGGTAGAGGGAGAGAGAGATAGAAACATCAATGATAAAAGAGAATCATTGATTGGCTGCCTCCTGCACATCCCACACTGAGGATCGAGCCTGCAACCCGGGCATACGCCCTGACCAGGATTTGACCAGAATTTGAACCGTTACCTCCTGGTTTGTAGGTCGATACTCAACCACTGAGTATCGAGTTTATAAAAGCTAGATCTGGCTGGGCTAGATCTAACTTTTATAAACTGACTGGAACAGCTCTTATGCATAATCTCTTAGCTTTGACAAAAGTGGATATTTTGGCCTTTTGTTTATTTGTTTTTCTCTTTACTTCTTTTGAATGACTTCCAGCAATAGAAGGGAAAAATGCTGATTTATAGTTCATACTAGAAATATATTTATTGCTAGTGGGACAGGAGAAGGGTTGTATTACTATATAAATGCACAGACTTTGAGGTAAAAAATGTTTAAGTCCACTCAAAAATTGAAACATCAAATGTACAAAAAAAAGCATTAGACTAAAAGAAGTTATTCCTCAAAATTGAAATGTCATCAGGCAAGACTAAAATAATAGTAGATTTTAAAAAATAGTTTGTTTGAATCAGTATCGGAATAAAGTTCATACATTGTAGTTGATTGCTATATCTCTTGAATCTTTTTTGATATTTAGGCTTCCCCTCCCTCATTCTGATTCTCATGGTCTCTTTTCCTTGTAATTTATTTGTTAAACAAACAAGATCATTTGTCTTGTTTCCCTAGTATGGATTGTACTAATTATATCCCAAGGTGTCATTTAATGTGTTTCTCTGTCCTCTGAAGTCATACGTGTAGTTTTTAAAAACAATGTGATAGAGCTGAAATCATATAGTATTAATTGTATTTAATTTGATTGCATCATTGCAGAAATAGAGACCACTTGGCAAATGATTTTAATTTTTTTTTACTTAGTCTAGTACATCCTTAGCAAAAGGTTAGACTTGTTTCTGAACTTTTCTGTCAACTAGTAAGTCTGTGTAAATTAGTAATCTTTTTTAAAATCATGTTTGACCAGAAAATTACATATTTCATAGATATTATATATGCATCTTAAAAAGTAAACCAAAATTTACCCTTCTAAATTTCAGAATGAGTATTTTATTTTATTTTATTTTATTTATTTTTTAATACATTTTTGTGGATTTCAGAGAGGAATGGAGAGGGAGAGAGAGAGAAACATCAATGATGAGAGAGAATCATTGATCGGCTGCCTCCTGCACGCCCTCTACTGGGGATCGAGCCCACAACCGGGCATGTGCCCTTGACTGGAATCGAACCAAGGACCCTTCAGTCCGCAGGCCAATGCTCTATTCATTGAGCCAAACTGGCTAGGGCCAGAATGAGTATTTTAATATTTAATCTTTATGAATTGGTTTTGCCCTCAGGGATATGCTTTCATACTCATCACAATTTATATCAGGCATTGCCCTTTGCACATTTTGTCTGCATGGTTGGGTGCTTTAAGTTCCTCAATAGGCAATTTTCTGGAGACAGTATCATTGTGAATAAGCTTCTATTTTATTTAATAAATACAGGTTGACAGGTATAGTTTCAAATAAATTTTAATAACTTTATTAAGGTATAATTTACATGCTATAAAATTCACCCACTTAAAGGATACAGTTCAATGATTTTAGTAAATTTACATTAAGACTGGAGATTTGTCGACTGAATCTTACATAAATTCTTGTTTGAATACAGATATTGTCAGTTTTCTCAAGACTTAATTCAATTTAAAATCAGTCCCAACATTTTACTTGCTCTGCTTTCTATTATCTTTTATTTTTTAAGCGTTTTATTTTTTGAAATGTTAACTTAGCATTATTTTCTGTTTCATATTCAGAGAAAGATGGCTTCGCTTCTGGAACACCAGCAGTGAGTTAATATGCTATTTCTTATAGCTCTTGTTATAATTTAAGTTTCCCCAAACAAATTTCAGTTTTTATTTTGCTTTCTAAAATAAATTATAGCCATTAGAAATAAATAACTACTTAATATATGTTTTAGCTAGCCACTTAATTAGTTGAGGAAGCCATGTTAAACCAATAGAATATCCTTGATATGATACTCAAACTGCTAAAACTTATTATGATCGAGAGCAGTTTAGCTACTTTTGGTAATGTTTCTGTACATAGACATGAATACAAAGGACTGCTAGCTTTTTCCTCTGGCACCATTCTACTGAATATAGCCTGTGGAAACATACTGAACAACAGGGAAGCCTGTCAGTCTTCAGAGTTGACTGAAACTTTGTAAGTTATCATGCAAGCACAGTTACCTCCTGCAGAGTCACTGTTTATTTTCAATTCCTCAATTAGAGGAAACAGTCTCCTGGGGTTAATATGAAGGTTAACTGGGGTAACATGTACCTATCTAGCACACACCTGGCACATAATCTCTGTGTAAAGGTTAATACCTTCCTCTCTTGCTTCATTCGCCATCATTTTTTTCTGGTGAATGTAGCTGTTTAAATGACTGAAAATGAATCTGACTTACACAAAGCCTAGAGGATTCTTATTTTTGGTCTTAACAAATAAAGTGATTGATTCCTAAAGGGTTTGTTAAAGGGTATAAAATTCTCTATATAAAAGGTATACATTCTCTTTTAAGAATACTTGATATTTATCACATACATTTATTTCATAAACTTACTTTACTTACAGAATTGCCTTCATGTTTTAAGTGATTAAATTAGAGTAAATGAGGATTTACTGTTTTGAAATGAGCTATTAAAATAAATATTTTTAAAAATATGTTAAAAGAGATTCATATTTTAACATATTGTTATATTTGACATGTCTTCCTTACCTTTGCTCGTTGATAAATACAGTTGAATACCAAGGGATCAGAAACATCAGCAGTAGTAGCAGAGGAAGATGATGATGATGAAGAGGCTGCTCCTCCTGTGATTGCCCCACGACCTGATCATACAAAATCAGTGAGTGTCTTATTAGTGAATTGGGCTGTGTATGTGTGTTTTAAAAAGCAGTCTGTATTTGACTTCCATTGATCAATTTTATAAAGCCCTCATGCTTAAAATGTTTTAGTGTGGGGAAATTTGACTAGGAGATCTTTACCTAAAGACCACTCATCAAAAAACTAGCTAGCTCTATATATATATATATTTAGTGATTTCAGAGAGGAAGGGAGAGAGATAGAAACATTGATGAGAGAGAATCATTGATTGGCTGCCTCCTACACCCCCCCTACTGGGGATCAAGCCCACAACCCAGGTACGTGCCCTTGACCGAAATCGAACCTGGGACCCTTCAGTCCATAGGCCGACACTCTATCCACTTAGCCAAACCGGCTAGGGCAAAAAACTAGCTTTTTTGAAAATTAAAATCAAATGAGTTCTTTAAAATACAAATACTTATTGTTTTTTATTTTTTATTGAATTTATTGGGGTGACATTGGTTAATAAAATTACATATTTTATCTCCCATTTTACAATCCTCTCAAAGCCTAATGTCATTCAAGGGGCTTCTAAGAGTAAATTCCTAAACAGATATAGGAGAACTTTAACAATAATGACCTTAGGTAGAGAGAAAAGGAGTCCTGTCCCTCTCCCTGTACTAATACAAGTAAAGTAGGGGAAGGTGCTGTACACGGCATCAGGGAGTGGTAGTACACTTGGCAGGTAAAGCTCTGAGGACTGCCAGTGCATCCTGGTCTAATGATTGAGGGCTCTATTTTCTTTATATCCTAGAACTGGCTGTTGGAAATGAAAGGATAGAAATCATATTTGTGCAAAAATTTGGGGGATATTAATAGTTATTATAACATCAAGGTTTCTATTATTTTGTTTTTTATTTCTCTTTTGTGGTAAAGACATGAATTTAAACTTTTTGCTTCATTACTAGCGTATCATTTTATTTTATTTTTTGTTAATCCTCACCCAAAGATATTTTTCCATTGATTTTTTTTTTTTTTTTGAGGGAGTGGAAGGGAGGGGGAGAGACAGAGAGAATCGATGGATGTGGTAGAGACACATTGATTAGTTGCCTCCTACACGTGCCCCAACCAGGGCTGGGGATTGAGTCTGCAACCTAGGTATGTGCCCTTGACCAGAATCGAACCCAGGACCCTTCAGTCCACTGGCCGATGCTCTATTCACTAAGCCAAACTGCCTAGGGCTCTCGCATATCATTTGAGATCTGGTTACTCTTAAATTTCATTCAAGGATCTGCTCTTTTGCTAGAAAAATTTAAAAGAAAGACATGATGTACGAAGTAAAAATGTTTCACATTTATTCTTAGTTACAAGTCGGGTTTTTTTCTACAAATCTTTTTTAAAGACAGATCTGAAAATATTATTCTCATTCTTTTTTTTTTCCTATATCAAAGAAATTTAATTTTTAATTAAAATTCTTGACACAAGGAAACTGCCAGTCCTAGATGGCCTCACTGGTGATTTTATCATCCACTAAAGCATAAGTAATGTTAGCTATACATAGACTCCTCCACAGCACAGGATGGGACACATCCTGTCTTGTTCCATGAGGCAGGATTGCCTTGATACCATAATTGAAGAAGACTGTGATGGAAAAAGAAAACTATAGATTAACACCCTCCAGAATATAGCTGTAAAAATCCTTTGTAGCAAATTGAATTTAGTGATGTAAAAAGATAATACATCATGAACAAATTTGGTTTAACGTGAAAAAATCAATGATGTAATATTGACGTAATAACAAAAACCATGAGGTCATTTCAAAAAGATACCAAAAAAAGGGGCATTTGACAAAATTCCATACCCATTCTTGATAGAAATACTCTTTACAAACTGAGAAAAAAAGAAAACTTCCTCAGTCTGCTAAAGAGCATGATTGGATACTTTTCCCCTAATATCAATTATAAGGTGGGATTTTTGTGTTCATCTCTTTTGTTTTTGTTTTGTTTTTAAAATAACCTTTATTGCCCTGGCCAGTTTGGCTCAGTGGATAGAGTGTTGGCCTGTGGACTGAAGGATTCTGGGTTCAATTCCAGTCAAGGGCATGTACCTTGGTTGCAGGCTTGATCCTCAGTCCTGGTCTGGAGGCAACCAATCGATGTGTCTCTTTCACATTGATGTTTCTCTCTCTGTCTCTCCCTCAACCTTCCACTGTCTCTAAAAACCAATGGAAAAATATCCTCGGGTGAGGATTATCCATAAATAACAATAAAACACCCTTAATTGCTAAAGTAATACTCTGCATTTTAAAAAATTAGGAAACAGTGAAAAGGAAAAATAAAACATGTCACATTTTCACTGCCTAGAAAAGATATACTTTTGTGTGTGTTCGTGCACAAGTTTGCATGCATGTGCCGGAAGCCGATCCACGCTTGCTGCTTGACACAGTCGCTGCAGGGAAGAAACATCTGCACCTATTCTCATTCTTTAGAACACTGGAGACAACTTAGTTTTGGTTAAAAATCAAAAAAGTGAATAGTGTGCCGGTAAAAATACATAAAAACATTTTCCCTCAAGTCTCAGTAATTAACTGTCTCTTTGCAGATTTATACACGGTCTGTAATTGACCCTATTCCTGCACCAGTTGGTGATTCTAATGTTGATGGTGGTGCCAAGTCTTCTGACAAACAGAAAAAGAAGACCAAAATGACAGATGAAGAAATTATGGAGAAATTAAGTATGTATTTCCTACATTTTACATTATTATGAAATTGTTGACAGCTCTTGAAACATTTGGCCCAGATGGATATGTATGTATGTATGTATGTATGTATGTATGTATTTTTAAACGCTCCAAATAGCTGTTTATTTAATTTATTTTTTTAAATCCTCACCTGAGGATATTTTCCCATTGATTTTTAGAAAGAGTGGAAGGGAGAGGGAGAGACAGAGAGAAACACCGATGTGAGAGAGAGACATCGATTGGTTGCCTCTCAGATGTCCCCCGACCAGGGCCAGGAGTCTGCAACTGAGGTACGTGCCCTTGACCGGAATTGAACCTGGTACCTTTCAGTCTGCAGGCTGATGCTCTATCCACTGAGCCAAACCAGCTAGGGCTGGCCCAGATGGACTTTAATTTATACCCTATATTTTAGCTTAAGACATAAAGAATAAATTGTTGACTTCTAGGAACAACTTCAATTAAAATCTGAAAAAGCTCCCAAAATATTCTTCTTTGATTATTTATTATTATGTGTTGACTAGTGAGCAACTTCTCTCCAGTAGTTTAGTACCTTTGGAGCAACACTTTTTCCCAAAAGGCCAAATCTAAGATTCACAGTTGGAAACCTTATCAAAGGAAGTTTGTATATATTTATACATACCTATAGCTTCTCAGTATGAGAATATAAAATGACCATAAGAACTAAACAAAGTGGCCTTCCTGTATGGATATATTTGTAAACAGAAAATGGATTTTTTTTTCATCCATCAACTATCATTGGCCTGGATCAAGCATTGGAAATAATTTACATAGTGCCAGGAAGAGAGTAATGATAATGTCTGATTTGCAGGTCTACAGCAACTATAGTTATAATGAACACCTACATGGAGGGATTAAGAAAAAACACTATAATTATAGTGGCTGTAGACTTGTGGGTTATATGTGAGTTTCCTTGCTATAGTCCTGTTTCCTTTTACCTTGAGCAAGTGAAAAAAATTTTTAATATATTTTTATTGATCTCAGAGAGGAAGGGGGAGAGAGAGAGAGATAGAAACATCAATGATGAAAGAGAATCATTGATCGGCTACCTCCTGCACATCCCCTACTGGGGATCGAGCCTGCAACTCAGGCATGTGCCCTTTACCAGAATTGAACCTGGAACCCTTCAGTCCTCAGGCCAGCACATTATCCACTGAGCCAAACCAGCTAGGGCAAGCAAGTGAAAATTTGGTTTTCTCATGTTTTCACTTACTGGTAATAAAAATATAAGTTATAGTTTTATGTCCAACAGCCTAGTTCTAAAACCTTTTTCTTAGTTGTAACTTTGTGACCTTTCCTAAAACAGATGTGTGCTTAGCTCATATTAGAGTAGTTTTTATACTGATAAGTAGTTTTCTAAATACATTGTAAGATCAAAGATATATTTGTATAATCAGAAAAGCCAATTAGGGTTATTCATTTGGATATTATTTATATATTTAAGTTTTTTTTAGTGTTTGTGGTTGAAACACAGTATTTTGAGATTTAATGTAATGTTTGAAAACCACTATTCTAAAATCAATGGAGTTTATTAAAAGGAATAATGACATCAGAATTAATTTACAATTTAAAAGTGCTTGACTGAGCTTAAAATTTTTTGTTGTTTTTGTTTAAAATAGGAACTATTGTGAGCATAGGTGACCCTAAGAAAAAATATACAAGATACGAAAAAATTGGGCAGGGGTAAGTATTTGTGACTGTATTATCACTATATTCAATACTTACTAGAGGTACAGCATGCTATCTCTTTTGCTTGCTGACATTGAGCACTTATAATATTCTCTGAGTGATGTCTTTAGATTTGTGTAAATAAGTAATGTATTTCTTTTTAGATGCTATGAAAAAACTATTATTTAGCAACAACTGTACATTGTTTTGTGTGGTTTTTTTTCTTTTTATTGATTTTAGAGAGAGGGAAGAGGGAAAAAGAAACAAACATCAATTTGTTGTTCCACTTATTTATGCATTTATTGGTTGATTCTTGTATGTACTCTACTCAAATTGAACCCCCAACCTTGGCATATGAGGATGATGCTCTAATCAAGTGAGCTACCTAGCTAGGGCATGAGTATACATTGTTTCTTCTTAAATGGTATTTCCCATTGGTAATAAGAGATTAGATGGGTGGAAAAATTATCCTTCAAATATATTTAAAAGATTGTAGGAACATTTACTACAATATTATAGGCAATAAAAACATACATTTTCATTACATCTATTCACTATCTTTGAATCTACTGATTATTTGATTTTGTCCAGTAATTTGTATTTTTAAACTATATTAACTAAACACTTTTCCTGTTGCTTAGGAACAGATGAACATCTGGAATTTTTAATGTTACTAATCTCTGGAAAATGTTCTGTGAATTTAGAAAGAGAGCTTAACGTTATTTTTGAAAGTTTCCTTATGAATTTCTTTTTAAAAACTAAATTTAGCCCTATCCGGCTTGGCTCAGTGGATAAAGCGTCAGCCTGCGGACTGAAGGGTCCCAGGTTCAATTCCGGTCAAGGGCACATGCCTGGGTTGCGGGCTCCATCCCCAGTGTGGGGTGTGCAGGAGGCAGCCGATCAGTGGTTGTTCTCTCTCATCATTGATGTTTCTGTCTCTCTCTCCTTCTCCCTTTCTCTCTGAAATCAATAAAGAAATATATTTAAAATAAATAAATAAATAAAAATAAAATAAAAACTAAATTTAATTGCAGCACTGGTTTTAATAACAAAAATTAAGAATCACATTTTAAGTATAATAATGGATAAATTGTAATACTAGTAAATGGAATGATACAGGTTGGAGCAAACGTAGGTTTATAGGTGTTTGTATGGAAAAAAACAATAACTAATAAATAATAATACAAGAATGAACTGTGTTTCGGTTACTCACAACTGTAAACCTACTTTTGCCCCACCTTGTATATGTAATAATTATAAGTGAACAATAATGATATCTAACAAAAAGCAAAGGGGGAAAAAAGACCAAGAAAGAATAAAATCTATCTATTTCGATGACCATCCCAAATTCAATGTTGAATTATAAGAGAAAATTGCAGAAAAAATACATAAAGTTAAATCATTTTTATGAAGTTTAAGAATTATGTTAACCTTGGCCCATGTAGCTTGATTGAGCATTGTCCTATGCACTGAAGGGTTGCTGGTTCGATTCCTAGTCAGGGCACATGCCCAGGTTTCAGGTTCAATCCCCAGTTGGGGTGCATGCTGGAGGCAGCTGATTGATGTTTCTCTCTCACATAGATGTTTCTCTCTCCTCTCTCTGTCATTCTCTCTCTCCATCCCACCCCTTTTCCTTCCTCTCTCTAACATCAATTTTAATTTTATAATATATTTTTAAAAGTATGTTAAATATATTCTGTAGAGATACATATCTATGTTCTTTGTAGATAAAGTATAAAGAAATGCATGGAACTGACATACATCAAATACAAAATGAACAAATGCACATTACTTTTGGGAGGAAAGAGGATGCCTTTGGAAAGGGCTCACAAAAACCTTCAGATTTATTTGTAGTTCTTTGTTGTTGTTTAAACATATTTTTATTAATTTCAGAGAGGGAGTGGGGGGAAGAGAGAGAGATAGAAACATCAGTGATGAGAGAAAATCTTTGATCGGCTGCCTCCTGCATACCCCCTACTGAAGGTCAAGCTCACAACCTGGTCATATGCTCTTACCTGGAATTGAACCCTGACCTCCAGGTTCATAGGTCGATGCTCAGCCACTGAGCCAAGCAGGCTGGGTTAGTTCTTTGTTTTTTAATTAGGGAAGTGGATCCATGGGTATATGTTGCTTTTTTTCCCCCCCTTTATCTTTTTTCTCCATTTTTGTAGATATGAAATTAGTGACAAATTTCTAACCTATGTTTTGGCCACAGGGATTGCTTCTTTTTCTTATTTTTCCCCCTTTTTATTTTTACTTTTGTTTTACTGTATTTTTATTTTCTTTTTACTCTTGTTAAAGATGTTATTAAGTCTTAAATGTTTAATCCTTTTTCAGTTCTAAGTATAAAGCCTTTGGATGTTATAAATCGTAGTGATTTAGAAACCTTAAATCTGGTTGTGTTTTTTTCCTCCTAGGGCTTCTGGTACAGTTTTCACTGCTACTGATGTGGCATTGGGACAGGAGGTAGCTACTTTTTCATTGTTCTGGGTGTTACCATTAGGTTTTAGTACAGGAGGAAACTGGATGAACCTGTGACTAATCAATAAAAATCTTTTTCAGTTGGATATGTTGAAAGAATTATTCTACATACTTTTATTTTCTGTGTAATTTTATAGCACTTTATTAAGGGGGGAGCAATTAATGCATTGTTTCATAAATAAGAAAATATTTAAAAAATTATTTTCCCAGCTTGGAATGAGCTGACCTTGGGTTGGTTAATCAGCTTTAAGAGAAATCTAAAAACATCTGGGCTCTATGTATTACAAAGCTTTGTGCATAGGCAGTGTGGAAATAAAAGTACTACCTAATTATAAATTATAATTATAATAACTGTAATTATTATAATTTCATTATATAACATACTAGTATACAATAAATTAAATTATTAACTGATTGGTATTTGCAATTTTGTTAGAGAATTAGGAAACTTCTAATTTTTTAAAAATTCTATTGCCATTATAGGTTGCTATCAAACAGATTAATTTACAGAAACAGCCAAAGAAGGAATTGATCATTAATGAGATTCTGGTGATGAAAGAATTAAAGAATCCCAACATAGTTAACTTCTTGGACAGGTAAATATGAATATTTCTTAAGCATTGGGACAAAAATGTGGAAATTTTAAGTCTCATGGTTTTGGGGGTTAGTCACTTTAGTGAAACCACAGTAGAATGCCAATGCTGAAAAGTAAGCTTGAAGGAGGAGGAGGTAAAAATAGCACATTTGCAGGTTAACATAGATATTACTTAGCAAGTGAGAGAAGGCAGTTAAATGAAAGACATTGCTGCTGGCGTTAATATTAATTATAAATGTTCAGAAGCAGAAACATTAAGAGAAGGTGATTCATATCTTGACCAACAGAGGTGACAGGCCACATAGTTTTTAAACTTTTAGGTGAATTTTTATTTCAAATGCTTTTATGAGCAAATAGTATGTCTCTCAAAACCTCATTTAATTTAGGAATTGATGTTTTAAAAACATATCTTAAAACTATTGTGCATTTTTTATTTTATTATTATTTTGTTGTTGTGAATCCTCACCTGAGAATATTTTTTCCATTGCTTTTTAGAGAAAATGGATGGGAGGGGAGAAGAGGGAGGGAGGAAAAGAGAGAGAAACATTTATGTGAGAGAGACACATCTATTGGTTGCCTCCGACACATGCCCCAGCCAGGGCCAGGGATTGAACCTGCAACTCAGGTACATGCCCTTGACCAGGAACTGAACCCACAACCCTTGGGTGCGTAGGCTGACGTTCTAATTATTGAGCAATAGCCAGTCAGGGCATAGCTATTATGTGTTTTTAAAAGCAGTTACATATATGTGAATGTAAGAAGAGTAATAGAAAAGTAATGGAAATTATAGTAGTGATTATATTGGAAATAGGGAATTATAGGTGATTTTCTTATAATGATAACTCATTTTTTAGACTTTAGCCATAGTAATGAGGAATATGTTCATAGAAATAAACTTACCAGATACATTTAAACATTGTATTTTAAGTTGGTATATCATGGTGGTTAAGAAAAGCCATAAGCTTTCCGGACCTGGTGGAGCAGAAGATGCCATCATGGGAGTTGACATCTGCCACAACAAAAACCAAAGGTTTGGTGCAAGGAGCCCAAGAGCCAGAACATCTACTCAAGGCTGTTGATCAAGCTGTACAGGTTTCTGGCCAGAAAAACCAACTCCACCTTCAACCAAATGGTGCTGAAGAGGTTATTCATGAGTCCACCAACTGGCCACCTGGGTCCCTTTCCCGAATGATCCAGAAGAGGAAGCTTCCCGGCCAGAGGACATACCACTGTGGTTATAGGGACTATAACTGATGACATAAATGTCCAGGAGGTGCCCAATCTGAAGGTTGTGTGCACTTCGTGTGAACAGCCGTCCCCTGAGCCACATCCTCAAGGCTGGGGGCTAGATCCACACCTTCAAGCAGCTGGACCTGGGCTCCCCCAAGGGCTGTGGCTCGATGTTGCTTTCTGGTCCTCGCAAGGACTGAGACGTATACAGGCATTTGGCCAGGCTCCTGGAACCTCCCAGTCACACCAAACCCTGTGTACCATCCAAGGGCCAGAAGTTTGAGCATGCAAGAGGCTGATGGTCCAGCCCCAGCTACAAAAACTAACCAGATCCTATCTAGTTATTAAAAAGATTTTTGGGGAGGAACTAAGATGGCGGCATAGGTAAACACCTGAACTTGCTGCCTTACACAACCATATCAAAATTACAACTAAAAGACAAAACAGATATCATCCAGAACCACGGGAAGGCTGGCTGAGTTGAATTTATACAACTAGAAGGACAGAGAAAAGCGCACTGAAACTGGGAGGAGGTACAGAAGTGCAGAAGTATGGAGGCGCACACGAAACAGGCTGGCAACTGGGTACACTGTTGTCTTTCTCAGTCGGGAGGGAGATACAAGCTCCCGACTGCTCTGAACTCCAGTTCCGGGTGAGACTCTGGGGACCCGGACTCATTCGGGGGAAAACTGGGCGTGGCATCGGGCCGGAACAAGAAGGCGGCTTTCTCTCAGAGGTGCTTGCAGCAATCATTGTTCCTGCACAGGGCCGCGGGACACAGAGACCCAGGGACCTTTCGGGGCAGGGATGACGGGCAGCCATTGCTGTTTGCTCTACCCTGTGGTGATTCCCTGAGACCCTGCCCCACCCAATTTACAACCCCACCCAAGCTGTGCGCAGCAACTTTTGCATATGAAAACCTGGCCTTTTGCAATCTAAAACCTAACAAACTGCAGCTGGGTCAGAGAGCCCCTGAGCTTCCAAAAGAAGGCCCAAGGCTCTACACCAGCCTGCATTGCTTCCCACTGGGCCTCATCTAGGCACCTCCAAACCCCATATAAAGAGGAGGTATCTACAGATCTCTCTGTAGCTCCTGTTGGGTGGCCTCAGGCAGTGGCTGACTTTGCACCTCCTTGGAGATCCAAGAGCCACTATACCCAGTGGTCAGAGTGAGACCATACCAGAGTACAACTCTTCACATCCATAAGGGACACACTCAGGGCAGACTCAGTGAGCACCAAAGCCCCACTGAAGCAAGTCCTGCCCCATAAGGGTGTCTCCTGCACAGCAGCTCTTCCATTGTAGATACAGCTGGTCCTCACAGCCAATTGGCCTGGAGGTCAATTCCTCCCAGTGATACCAACAACAATCAAGGCTTAACTACAACAAGACTGTGCACACAGCCCACAAAGGGATGCACCAAGAGTGTCCACCTCAGGTAATTAGGGAGGCTGAGCCACTGGACCCTATAGGACACCTAGCACACAAAGCCACTCTATCAACACAGGGAAGCAGCCAAAATGCGGAGACAAAGAAACATGTCACAAATGAAAGAAATGGAGGAAAGCAAACAACTGGATATAGAGTTCAAAACCACGGTTATAAGGTTACTCAAGAATCTTCTAGAAACCTCCTAGAAATTTAGTGCGATCCTCAAGGGTATGAAAAAGGACCAATTAAAAATTAAGCATACACTGACTGAAATAAAGAATAATATACAGTGATCCAACAGCAGACTAGAGGATCCCAAGAATCAAGTCAAAGAGTTGAAATACGAAGAAGCAAAAAACACCCAACCGGAAAATCAAAAAGAAAAAAGAATCCAAAAATATGAAGATAGTGTAAGGAGCCTCTCGGACAACTTCAAGCATACCAACATCCGAATTATGGGGGTGCCAGAAGAAAAGAGAGAACAAGATATTGAAAACCTATTTGAAGAAATAATGACAGAAAATTTCCCCTACCTGGTGAGAGAAATAGGCTTACAAGTCCAGGAAGCCCAGAGAACCCCAAACAAAAGGAATCCAAAGAGGACCACACCACGACACATCATAATTAAAATGCCAAGGGCAAAAGACAGAATCTTAAAAGCAGCAAGAGGAAAACAGTTAGTTACTTACAAGGGAGTACCCATACGACTGTCATTTGATTTCTTAACAGAAACTATGCAGGCCAGAAGGGAGTGGCAAGAAATATTCAAAGTGATGAATAGCAAGAACCTACAACCAAGATTACTCTACCCAGCAAAGCTATCATTTAGAATTGAAGGTCAGATAAAGAGCTTCACAGATAAGAAAAAGCTAAAGGAGTTCACCACCACCAAACCAGTATGAAGGGTATTCTTTAAGAAGAGGAAGAAGAAGAAAAAGGTAAAGATAAAAATTATGAACAGCATGCCCTAACCGGTTTGGCTCAGTGGATAGAGTGTCAGCCTGCAGACTAAAGGTCCCAGGTTCTATTCCAGTCAAGGGCATGTTCCTTGGTTGCGGGCACATCCCCAGTAGGAGGTGTGCAGGAGGCAGCTAATCGATGTTTCTCTCTCATCGATGTTTCTAACTCTCCCTTTCCCTTCCTCTCTGTAAAAAATCAATAAAATATATTTTTAAAAAAATTATGAACAACAAAGTGACAACAAATACATATCTATCAACAAGTGAATCTAAAAATCAAGTGAATAAAAAATCTGATGAACAGAATAAACTGGTGAATATAATAGAATCAGGGGCTTAGAAAGGGAGTGGACTGACAATTCTCAGGGGGAAGGGAGTGTAGGGTGTGGGAAGAGACTGGACAAAAATCGTACACCTATGGACGAGGACGGGGCGGGGGGTAAGGTCATGGAGTGGGGTGGGAACCGGGTGTAGGAGAGCTATGGGGGGTGGGGTGGAAGAGGAACAACTGTAATAATTTGAACAATAAAGATTTATTTAAAAAAATATAAAAATAAAAAAAGAAAAGCCATAAGCTTTGCAGCCACTTCATACTTGGCTTCAGATTCTGGTTTTGTCACTTACTAGCTGTGTTACCTTAGATGAGTTACTTAACCTCTCCAAGCTTCTGTCTGTTCATCTGTCAAACAGGATGAATAAGTCTACCTATGCACTCAAGTTACAATTGTGGTCAAACTTTAATGTGACTCAGGAAAACCATAATGACCCTCAGTTATTTTTCTGTGCTGTTACATAGCAGCTTTCCAGTTGTCTTCCTACCTCTCAAAGCTGTCAGCTTTCTAATTTTGTTATGAAGGTGCCTGAACTTTGAATTCTTCAACATTCAGGAGTGCCATGTGTTTAGAAAATATAAGAATGTGAGTGTATTGTGTGTGTGTGTTTTTTAGTTTCCTGGTGGGAGACGAATTGTTTGTAGTGATGGAGTACCTTGCTGGGGGATCACTTACTGATGTTGTAACAGAAACCTGCATGGATGAGGCTCAGATTGCTGCTGTGTGCAGAGAGGTGAGTTTGCTGCCATTTTGATAAGTTATGGTGATGTGCGGTTAGCAGGAGATGAAAAAAGGAAAAGTTTTTCCACACAGGTAAATCTTATTGAGTGTAATCCTTTCTCTGTACACATTCTCTACATGTTTTTTTCCATACCATTTCATTCTACTTGAGAGTTTCAGCCCTTCATGTGTAAGATAATTCTGCAATGAAGCATGGACCTTTGAAGAGTGAAACTCACAGGTGAATTTCAGTGGGATCATCATTATAATTCATCATCCAAACAGGATGCTTTTGAGACATGTATGTCATTAAAAATACACCACTCACCCTGGCCAAGTGTGGCTCAGTTGGTTGGAGGAGCCCATGCACTGTATGGTGGCAGATTCCATTCCTGGTCAGGGCAGATACCCATGTTTCTGGTTTGATCCCCAGTCCAGGTATGCATGGGAGGTGGCCTGTCGATGGTTCTCTCTCAAATCAATGTTTCTCTCTTTCTCTTTATAAAAATCAATTTTAAAAAAATACACCACTCAACAGAGGAAACAAACCCTCCTTCAGGCAAAGCAGTACATATGTTCACCTTAAGTGTTAATACATCTGCTTCTGGCTTTATTAATCTTATTGATAGTAAAGAAACTGGTTGTTCCTTGATATTTATTAATGAACAAGAGGCCCAATGCACAAATATTCATGCAAGAGTAGACCTTCCTTGCCCCGGTTGCTGGCACCAGCTTTTTTCCAGCCGCCAGCAGGCACCCGGGACCCGGGCTTCCCTCGCAGCCCCTGCTTTTTTGGAAGGATATCTGGTCTAATTAGCATATTACACTTTTATTATTATAGATTACTAGACCTACTGTCTGATTTTAAATCATAAATTCTGCCAAATTGCCTAAGTTAACTCAAAACAGGAGCCTTCCTTCTACCAGCTAACCTTTCCTACAGATGAGACTTGGGTTAATGATTTGCTTATTGTCACTGAAACTGTGATACTACTTTTGAATATCATAGGAATCATTATTTTAATGGACAAAATTGTAAAAGTTCTTAAGACCATTGTGTTTTTAAGGGTTTTTTTTATGCTCACCCAAGGATATATTTTACTGATTATTTAGAGAGAGGGGGAGGGAGGGGAGAGAGGGAGGGAGAGAGAGAGAGAGAGAGAGAGAGAGAGAGAGAGAGAGAAAGAGAAACATAGATGTGCCAGAGAAACATCGATAGGTTGCCTGATGTATGCGTATCCCAACCTATGCACACCCCAACAGGGGATCAAACCTACAACCTAGGTATGTGCCCTGACCAGGAATCAAACCCACACTCCAACCAATCGAGCCACACCAGCTAGGGCTTCTTTGAAAATTTTAATTGTTCTCCATGTAAGGGGCGGGTAGCTTCTTTGGTTGTTTTAGTAGGGAAGGAAGTAAGAATTTTTTAATGAATATGATAGTTTAATAGCATATCTCTAAACAAAAAAACGTTGGTTATATAAAAGCTGATAAAAACTTAAGAATTTATACTTAATTTTTTCCTAATAGTTTTTCATAATTGATATACTATAAAAGTTATTTTAGGAGTTCCTTTAATTGTGACAAGTTTATTTCTATTTGTACAAGTATTTTTCTGGGAATTTCTCATTTTCAGGAATCTGCTTAAATGCTTGGTAAATGTAGTGTAATAATACACATAGTTTATCTATTTTTTCCTTGAATAAATAGTACAAGATTTTCACCCTGACTGGTGTAGTTCAGTTGGTTAGAGTGTCGTCCCATACACTGAAAAGTCGGGGGTTCAATTTCCGGTCAGGGCACATTCCTAGATTATGGGTTTGATCCCTGGTCGGGGCACCTGTGTGAGGCAACTGATTGATGTCTCTCTCTCTCTTACATCAATGTTTCTCCCTCTCTCTGTCTCTCTCTCCCCCTAAAAAACAATTAAAATTATTTATTTATTTATTTATTTATTTATTTTTTTAAAGTATATTTTTATTGATTTCAGAAAGGAAGGGAGAGGGAGGGAGAGATAGAAGCATCAATAATGAGAGAGAATCATTTATCAGCTGCCTCCTGCACTCCCTCTACTGGGGATTGAGCCTGTAATCTGGGCATAAGCCCTGACAGGGAATTGAACAGGTGACCTCCTGGTGCATAGGGTGATGCTCAACCAATTAGGCCACATTGACTGGACTCTGATCTCATTCTTGTGTTTAAGGAAGCAGGGAGAAATTTTTTCTCCCTTTGGACTCATTCTGCTTTCTGAAACATTAGCAGAAGAAGAAAGTTATTCCTTTATCATTGGTGTCTAGGTTGTGGATATTAGCTTTATGTAAAATTCACCATAGAAGAAATGAAGAAAACATCTTACATCACATTGACGAACAGCTAAATGGAACCATACCAGCCATAATCTTACCCACTTTTCATGGCACATTGATTAGACTTGAATATCTGAGATTTATGTGGGAATAATCACAATTTTATCCTTTACTATTGAAGTGATTTCTAAAGAGCCTTGTGCATGTTTGCAGGTGCTGTATACCTTTAAGCACTTAAACCTGAAAAGGCCTAGAAATGATATAGACTCACCTATCTATATATATAAAAAGCCAGCAACTGTAATGGCCATAACGACCCTAATGACCTGTCGCTATGATGCCCACTGTGGCCAGTGAACCAGCCTGATCAGGGGGTGAAGCCGGCTGGCCAACCTCCTGGCCTCTCCCCACTGCCGGTCCGCCCCTGATCGGATTCTCCCACCCCAATCA